AACGGCTTGAAATTTTGTATCAACAATCTTTCTATTGAGAAATAAGCGACTGTCAAGTTTTGCTTTGATTGAAGCATTTTTAATCCCCAGTCTGCAAGGTTGTTTTAGGGGTGATTTTTGAGGGTTTTTTCGAATAGGCTGAAATTTTGTATCGATAATCCTCATATTGAGAAACTAGTGAATATCAAATTTTGACTTGATTGGAGCATTTTTAATCCCCAGCCTGCAAGGTTGTTTTGGCGGTGATTTTTGAGGGTTTCTTCAAATAGGCTGAGATTTCGTATCGATAATCCCCATATTGATAAACTGGCGAATATAAAGTTTTGACTTCATTGGAGCATTTTTAATCCCCAGTCTGCAAGGTTGTTTTGGGGGTGATTTTTGAGCGTTTATTCGAATAGGCTGAAATTTTGTATCAACAATCTTCGTATTGAGAAAGTAAGAAATATCGAGTTCCGACTTGATTGGAGCATTTTTAACCCCCGGTCTGCAAGGTTGTTTTGGGGGTGATTTTTGAGGGTTTCTTCAAATAGGCTGAGATTTCGTATCGATAATCCCCATATTGATAAACTGGCGAATATAAAGTTTTGACTTCATTGGAGCATTTTTAATCCCCAGTCTGCAAGGTTGTTTTGGGGGTGATTTTTGAGCGTTTATTCGAATAGGCTGAAATTTTGTATCAACAATCTTCGTATTGAGAAAGTAAGAAATATCGAGTTCCGACTTGATTGGAGCATTTTTAACCCCCGGTCTGCAAGGTTGTTTTGGGGGTGATTTTTAAGGGTTTCCCCGAACGGCTTGAAATTTTGTATCAACAATCTTTGTATTGACAAATAAGCGACTGTCAAGTTTTGTTTTGATTGAAGCATTTTTAATCCCCAGTCTGCAAGGTTGTTTTGGGGGTGATTTTTAAGGGTTTCTTCGAATAGGCTGAAATTTTTGTACCGATAATCCTCGTATTGAAAAACTAGCGATTGTTAAATTTTGACTTGATTAGAGTATTTTTAAGCCCCAGTCTGCAAGCTTGTTGTGGGGGTAGTTTTTAACGATTTTTCCGAACGGGTTGCAATTTTGTATCAACAATCTTCGTATTAAGAAATTAAGAAATATCGAGTTTTGACTTGGTTGGAGCATTTTTAACACCCAGTCTGCAAGGTTGTTTTGGGGGTGATTTTTAAGGGTTTCTCCGAACGGCTTAAAATTTTGTGCCAACAATCTTCGTATTGAGAAATAAGCACATGTCGAGTTTTGACTTGATTGGAGCATTTTTAATCCCCAGTCTGCAAGGTTGTTTTGGGGGTAGTTTTCAACGATTTCTCCGAACGGGTTGAAATTTTGTATCAACAATCTTCGTATTGAGAAATTAGGAAATATCGAGTTTTGACTTGATTGGGGCATTTTTAACCCCCAGTCTGCAAGGTTGTTTTGGGGGTGATTTTTAAGGGTTTCTCCGAACGGCTTGAAATTTTGTATCAACGATCTTTGTATTGAGAAATAAGCGACTGTCGAGTTTTGACTTGATTGGAGCATTTTTAACCCCCAGTCTGCAAGGTTATTTTGGGGGTGATTTTTGAGGGTTTTTTCGAATAGGCTGAAATTTTGTATCGATAATCCTCGTATTGAAAAACTAGCGAATATCAAATTTTGACTTGATTGGAGTATTTTTAAGCCCCAGTCTGCAAGGTTGTTTTGGGGGTGGTTTTTAAGGGTTTCTCCGAACGGGTTGAAATTTTGTACCAACAATATTCGTATTGGGAAATAAGCAAATGTCGAGTTTCGACTTGATTGCAGCATTTTAAACCCCCAGTCTGCAAGATAAACTGTGGTCTGCAAATTAGACAGGCCCCGAAACAATAATTCATTTTAACTTATATTCAACACTTTTTTTGTTCTTAATGTCACTGCAAAATTCTTCTTTCTTAATATGTATTGTTACGTTGACGGGCGAATAATTAATCGGGCGTAGGTAAAACTTAACAATTTATTTCTTTAACTCGAATTACACTACTAACAGCGATAACTTCACAACTTAAATGCATTCGCTCATTCGACTCTTGACTGAATTATGAATGAATCATTCCCGAAGGTGGCGTCTATTTAAATCCTTATTTCGGCGATCCAGCTCTTTCTCGAATTGGGTATTCGCGACTTCCGCTTCCAGGCTTTTCGAGCGTCGCTTCGAGACTTCTTCTGGGCCCATCGCGACATCCGCTTGCATCCACGCGGCCGTTGAGTCAGACTAGCTACGCGTACATACTAGAAGACGCATAGGCACAGTATTAACGAGGATGGTATTTTCCTTATATAACCAACAAGTATCCACAGATGCCACGGTTTTGGTTCCTTGTAGCTCTAAAGGATTAAGCCTAGTGTCCATAATAACAGCTTTCATCACGGGATCCATTACATCAGCTTGACGATAGTGTACCCCAAAATAACCCTCATCATATTTATCGATGTTGTAAATTTTAGCAGTTCTTTGTTGTAGTTTTCTCCGGTTGGTTGAGTTTCCATTGTCTATCGTCATCAGTGATCATTTTCCTCTTGTTGAATAAGTGATTATTGATTGCGATTTCGTAAATAATCGATTCAGATCCAAGAATTTTCTTGCATGTTATTCGATTCAGGGAGACGACCTGACACAGCACATATGATGATGTTAGATCGAACTTTTAAGAGTTGAAAGAACTGAAGTTTGACATATGTCTCTTTCAACTTTTGACAAGTGTTAAGGTTACTATGTTTAATGTTCCAATTGTAATTATAATAATATCTAAGATTGTGGTGAAAATGTAATTTGGGTTGAATTACTCGTGGCACAGCATAGATATCAATCAGTAGAGACAGCTCGTGTCGGCGCCTTTGTTCTTTCTGACCCGAATTTTAAGCCGTCATGGATGGTCGTTGCCTAAACTATTCCTAGAAGTCGCCACCCAATTTAAAAAGTATCACTTCATTTACAATTTCAAAAATTGATTCGTGTAAGCAATATTGCAAACTGTGTAGTTTGCTCAAATCGTATAATCGTGAATCGCAATAAGAAAAAAAAAGTCGATATTTAAATTATAAACACGATGATTTGTTACAGTTTTTATTTTATTACTTATACAATTTGACAATTCGCACATTCTTTCCCTGAATACTTGAGGTTTATTATCATTGTAAAAATAATGTAATAAATACATCTAAAAAGAAAGAAGTTTATTTAAGAAAAAATAAATAAATAAAATAAAAATTAAATTACAAAAAGGAAAAAAGTTAATGCTGCCAAATTATTTTTTTTCTATTAATTTTTTCACCTTTGGCATTTGTAAATTTAAAGCTAGCATTTACAAATCCGGAAATGGTACACTTTGTAATGGACCGTAGGTAAAGGAGTATTTTATGAGGACTAAATATTTTTCGAGAATAGACTCTTTTAGTTATTAAAGAAAGTATCCATCTTATTTATATATGTAGAAAGCTAAAAAAAAGTAGAGAAATAAACAGACAGGCATGATATTGTAATTATGGTAATTACTTTAAACAAGAATAAATATAAAAATAAGAACAGCACCTGTTAAATTGTTTAATAATTTCAAAAATTTTACGAAAAAAACGCATTTTACCTAACAACTTAACCCGTAAGCGTAATATCATATAAAGTAAAATTTTTATTTAAAAAAAATTATTACAAAAAAAAATACATATTTGTCGATTCGCATAAAGTGCAGGTAATTGGTATGGGTCGACGCAGGTAAGAATAATTAAGGAAATCATGAAACCGGAAGTCCATAGGAATTAAGCGAAAAAAGATATTTGACAAAATGTACGGCTTGGGTCATTTTTACCCACGTGCGACTGCTTATGGGTTAAGCAACGTCTCAAAATAAAACTCAAGATTGTGTAGGTCAAAAAAAATATATATATACATGATGAATAAAAAAATTGTTTATTGAGTGAAGGTCTGCTTATATAATTTTTTGTTACGTGTAGTTTGTTTCTTATTATTTTTATATTTAATTTTACCACAACAACGGAATCATATATAATAAATTTTTTATATTTATTTCATAACCACCGTTGTTGTTCGTTTGCGACGACTTTTTAAACAAAAAGTGTGTTATGTTTACTATCTTTTCCAAGAATTCCAAACACGAGGGAGAGAATAAGGCGCACAACAGGGATCCTGTATGAAAATTCATCGGACAAAGATTTTACCTTTTATTGTGAAAATTACATTTTTATACTATTTGTACAATTCTACTGGAAAAGCAATCTTAAACAAGCAAAACCGGCAAAAATATTGTAACAAAACTGCCAAATTTCAAATATTTTAGACGTCAGTTGGGCGCCCTCATTCGGTCATAAAGCGAACGACCACCCACGAAAACGGGTCACGAAAAACGGCGAGCCGTCTCTACTGATTGATATCTATGCTGTGCTCGTGGACTACCCTGCAGACAACAATTTTGACAAAGTAAGGAAATCAGTCAAAACAAACATGATTTTTATCACTAATATTATTGTTTTAGTTTTTCAGTTTCTGTACAAAGCACACAATACATTTCCTTTAAATCTGTAAATTCAATTGTTGGTATTTTTCTGAATTAAAATTATATCCGATTAACTAGGGGAAACCTGAACAGTATTAGTTGGGTTGACTAGATAATATTGTTTAACTAGTAGCTCTTATTAATATTTTAAATTTGAATTTGCCGATGGTGGCAAAAATCCAGACTTCAAAAATAGTTTGTTATTAGGGGTGAATTTGAAATTATACGAATCAAAGGACTCCCATGAAAACAAAAATTTGTGCGTGACACTAGTCTCCTCTGTAATGCGTTAGGTAGCACCAGTTAATGCATATGTTAATTAACTATATTGTTTCCGACGCATAACTATTTATAAACAAACAGTGTAATTACATCTAATGACTTTGAGTTGAATACTCAAATGCAAGGTATTATTTTTTAGTAATATTCCATTCTCTATTGAACACGTGTTATTAGTTTGCAAAAATGGCGATTAGCGATCGACCTACCACCGACCCAAACTTCTGTTATGGTCGTTGGTTATCATCCCCTCAACCTGGTGAAGAAGTGGTCATATCTGGGATGTCAGGTCGTCTCCCTGAATCGAATAACATCCATGAATTTCGTGACCACTTATTCAACAAGAGGGAAATGATCACTGACGATGATAGACGCTGGAAACTCAACCATCCTGAGATACCACAAAGAACAGCTAAAATTTACAACATCGATAAGTTTGATGCGGGTTATTTTGGGGTACATTATCGTCAAGCTGATATAATGGATCCAATGATGAGAACTGTTATGGAAACAGCCATAGAGGCTATAATGGACGCTGGGCTTAATCCTTTGGAGCTACAAGGGACCAAAACCGGGGTGTTTGTGGCTTGTTGCTGGTCAGATATGGAGAATACAACCCTCGTCAATATAAAGGAAGAAGAAAGATTTGCAACCACAGGGTAAGTAAAAAGTGTGTGGTTAAGGATAAGTTTGAGAGCAGAACGAAATTCAAGGAAAATAGTGACTGGTGTATTGTATGGAAATTTGTGATATTGTTAATGTTTTTTATTTAAGTGATTAATATTAAAAAATGTTGGTTTTGAAAGTACACGTGAACAATTCTGGGGTAGAATTGTAGGGAGTGAGTAAAAAGCCAATAAAGCTTAATACAGATTTATTCAGAACAATCCAACTTATTTATACAAAACTACATATTTACAATATATGAGTGTTTCTAAACTAATGGTAGTAGTGGATATGAAAATATATGGCGTCCCAGTTTCTTTTGTTCTGCTACCGCTGACTTCGGTGGTCAGTGTTGCGTAGTTCTGGCGCTTGCAATTCCGATGGTTTAGCGTTCTGTATTCGCGTCGTTTGATCTCGAACTCGATTTTGGTTGCGTCAATAGGAAGTTGAAATTTTAAAAATGATTGTTTAAATTTGGGATTTAAACAACGAGTAACAGTGCAACGAATGCAGTTGTACATAAATTTGAAATGTAAAACAGACCAATGCCACAGTATTAAGTAGTTATTGTTAACAGATTTGAAACTTTAAATTTTCGTGGCATTTTGTTTTAATGTCAGCATAATTTTTACTGCAATATAACTTTTATTCAGTTTAGCAGGAGATTATTATAGTGTCAACGTTTTATTTCTATAATTGGTGTCAATTGTATAGTTGTGGAAGTACCCCTAGTCAAAAACACTTAGATGTGACATTTTTTAGTAACTTTTCGTAGGAAAATTCTTATATGTTGCTAGGGATAAATCTAAATTATTTCAAATTCGCAATTATTGAAAGGTACAGGGTACAGGTAAAAGGAAAGTTAACAAGAGAACATTAAAAACCGAAAAAAACGGAAGCTTTAATAAAAAAAAGTTTGAAGTTATAACATATCAACATCTGAACCTTCAAGGTTACTGTATCATCCTCACTTCCACTCTCACTTTCATTCGAGTTGAGTTATTAACATTAATAATAATTCCATTCTGTTCTGAAATATCTAACATTTTTCATTTTCCCAAGTACAATTTATTATTTTATCAGTATGTTTAACGTAATTGTTCCAATGCACAGCCAGTACTTGATCAATCACATTTTGCCAAGTTGAACAAACATCATCAGGGGAAGGGCCGTTACGCTCCCCTGAGTTCTATTCAATATCTGCGTCTTTTGTGCAGATGGCTCGACCACCAGCTCGACAAGAAACCGAGCGCTCCGCTCCCACCACGTGTTTCTGTGTCATTTATCTCAGTTCGATTTAAATGTTCAATTCCTATGACTCTGATATTAAAACTACAACCGAACAAGTGTTAAAGTTTCAAAAAGAAAACAACATTTAAATTCGCCATACACTCTCGTGAAATTTGAAACAGCAAAGAATTCTTATCTGAAATTAAGATTGGACATCAGACAGTTCATATGATGGAAGCATTAATCAACAAAATATTTACATGATCAAAAAAACTAGCAAAGACCTGGTGTGAAGTAAAACTTGTGCAGACAAAAAAAATACGGGAGGTTAGGAACTGCAGAGCATGAAAATTTAACTCGTGATTTAAACATCCCCTCAGGGGAATAAAAATCTAGTTTAATCCCCTGTTGTATAATATGCTATTATACATTACATAATTTTTGGAGGGTCTACCTTTAAGGTAGTTCTGTGAGATTGCAAAAATTTTCACCTCTGCGTTCCACAGGGTGTTTTCTTCAAGTTTAGTATTCCTTGGCAAGCGTTCTTAAAGACAATGAATTTACAACAAAAACAAAATGTAGGGTTGGCTACAATTGCACCTTATTTTGCTGAGGAGATCAGTGATAACGCGTTTATCTTAGGACATCAAGAACACGACAATAGTTTAATAGCGATGTTACTTAATTATAAGAAACTAAGACAACTCTGTTGAATCTGGTAGAAAATTCGACCAACTATTTTCTATTTATTTTACAGGTATTTTAGATCTTTCATTCCACGTAGAATCAGCTACTACCTAAAATTAAGAGGACCTGCATTCGTCCTCGACACAGCCTGTAGCAGTTCAATGAACGCCTTCGACGCCGCCTTGAAATCCATCAGAAGTGGCCAGTGCGACAACGCCATAGTAGCCTGTGCGAATCTTCTCCTACATCCAGGAAACTCTCTTCAGTTTTTTCGGTATGCGCCAAAACTGAAACTCCAGATGAACCAAAAACCGTTTTCTTTAGTTTAGGTGTTTTAAGTAGCGAAGGCATTTGCAAAGTTTTTGATCAAAACGCCGATGGTTACGTACGAGGCGAAACCAGTGCTTGTCTTTTCTTGCAAAAGGCGAAAAATTCTAGAAGAATATACGCACAAGTTATTGGCACGAAAATAAATTCAGATGGTTTTAAAGAACAGGGCATTACTTTTCCTTCTACGAAAGCCCAGAAACAACTTATGACGGAAATATACGAAGATTCTGGTGTTGATGCTTCTGATCTGGCGTTTTTAGAAGTACATGGAACAGGTACAGAAGTAGGTGATCCACAAGAAGTAGAAGCGATAGATGGTGCTTTGGCCAAAAAACGTCAAAAGCAGCTTCTGGTGGGTTCGGTTAAGGCGAGTATCGGACATACTGAACCTGCGTCTGGTGTTTGCTCGATTATCAAAGTACTAATTGCTATGGAGACTGGACTTATAGCTCCTAATATTAATCTCAAAAAAATTAAAGACGGAATGGAAGGTTTTGAAAAAGGTAGAATGAAAGTTGTAACCGAACTAACTAAACTAGAAGGCGATGATGCTATTGTTGGGATTAATAATTTTGGTTTTGGGGGTAATAATGGTCACGCGATATTACGAAGATTTAAAAAGAGGAAAATTAATAGAGGCTTACCAGAAGACGATATTCCGAGATTAGTTTGTGTGAGTGGTCGCAGCGAAGAAGCAGTGCTTAACCTACTAGCTGACGTCAACAACACACCTTTAGATGCTGAATACGTAGGGTTACTTCATCACATCCACCAAACGCAAAGCCAAAACCAATCATTTCGGGGATACGCGATTATATCAAAAGACGGACTGGTCAAAAGTTCGTCAAAATTTTTTACAGGTCGGCAGCTACCTTTGTATATATTTTTTGGCCACTTTGCTAGAAATTACAAACTCCTGGGGTCATACCTGTTGAATTTTCCAGTGTTCAAGAAAACAATTGCTTGGTATGTTGTCAAGTTAGTTTAATTAAACAATTAATATTACCTCTTCAAGCATTGATACAATTCTTGTTTCCAAAAACTTGAAAACGTTTAGAAAAATTTTGCAAGAGCCATCTGAAACACACGAGGACAATTTGGGATCGATTTGTGTACAAGTTGGTGTTGTCGATATGTTAAAACTTCTGGAATTACATCCGGCTGCAGTTTTCGGTGATTCTTTTGGCAAACTTACCACTACTTACTACTACGGTATCAGTAGTCTGGATGAGACGATTTCAACAGCTATCAAAATTAGTCAGCTGGACTTTGACTCAGATTTGCACTTTAAGGCAGATTTCGCTAAACTACAAACCCAGGATAAAAGACGGAGTGATGTTCTATCTTCTCAAGACCTAGTTGATACCCATGAAAAACATTTCGTTCTTAATGTTTCGGATGCGCACTTAAATTGCAAAGATGAGTTATTGGTGGAAGACCGAGTTGTTAATTTTTTAAGCGTCTTGGGAAGGTATGTATGTGTCTCTTGGTTACCCTTTACTAATACAACAATTGTAGACTTTATCAACACGGTCACACTCTTTACCTGCATGAACTGTATCCAAAAATCCAGTATCCAGTAAGTCGGGGTACCCCAATGATTTCGCCTTCACTTCGATGGAACCACGTAAAGAGCTGGTACACCTATAAATTCAGTGAATTTATAGCATCTGATGCTGAACAGAAAGAATACAACATATCTTTCTTATACGATGAGTACAAATTTATACAAGGGCACGTTATCGACGGTCAGATCAAAGACAATCAAAAGCCTTAACACTGTAATACAAATTTTTAGGTCGCAATCTTTTCCCAGCCACAGAATATTTGAATCTAGTTTGGGACACTTTCGCTCAAAGTCGACGATTGTTACCCATCGATCTACCAGTTGTTTTTAAAGACTGTAAATTCATAAGAGCAGTGTCTATGCCAAAATCTGGGTTTGTCAAACTTCTCGTAACAATTCAAAGAGGAACTGGAAATTTTGAAGTTCTTGAGAAAGATTCACTTGTTGTTAGTGGTTGTATCCAGATGTGCACCGATATGAAACAGGAGCAGACTAATCTAAAGGCTTCAGTTCTTGGTGATGCAGATTCAGCTGAAATTCTGGAACAAGACGAGATTTATAGAGAGTTGTATTTAAGAGGATACAATTATAGGCAAGTTCTAAATTTTCGTTTATGTAGATTAATAAATAGTTTTAGTGGATTGTTTAAGGGTGTCATAAAATATAACGCTGAATCTTCTTCTGGGTTAATCAAGTGGGACAACAACTGGAGTAGCTTTATGGATGCTATGCTTCAAACGAAAATTCTTCAGGCCGACACTAAACTACTTAATGTTCCCGTGGGTATCAAAAAGTTGACGGTAGATCCTCTAACACACCTAGAATTGGTTAATAAATTAGACAAAAACGAGAGTTATCTACCTGTGTCCGTGTACGAGGAATGTAATATTATCAAGTAAATAGTGAAGAGTAGCTGGCGTTGATGATTTAAACACTTTGTCTTTAGATCTGGAGGAATCGAAATATGTGGACTTCAAGCAAAATCCATTTCTAAAAGAAAGCAACGCTTGCAACCAGTTTTGGAGAAGCATCAGTTCGTTTCGAATTTTTGTCACTTGGATTTAGAAGAAGCAGTTAGAGTAAATACCCAAATTATCCTAGAAAATGTCTTAGAAAACCGGTTTAAAGCGGTGGAAATCATCGACGACTATACTTGTCAAAATTCAAAACATTTGTTACATTTGGTTTGTAAGGCTTTGGATGATGTCCCACTGATAACTCCTGATCTAACTATATCGTCTAAAACAAGTATAGATGAAATACCTGGTGTTAAAGTTGAAGATGTTAGTTTAACCCCTGAGAGCAACTTGCTTCTTGTTGTTGCTACCAAAGTTTTCCAGCGTTCGAACATTTTGAAACAGTTGACTGGAGCTCTTAACAAAAATGGTTTTATTTTGAGTCGTGAAGACATTGATTTTAGACCAAATGAAACAGAAGGAATAGAAGTTCTCACTGAATTTACTACAGCCGACGAAAAACTTATTTTGTGTCGAGAAAGTGTTGCCCCCGCTGATACCAAAGTCATTGAAGTATCTTCGAGTAGTTTTCACTGGTTGCCAGAGCTTCAAAAGTCTTTGAGTCGTGATACAAATATAATAGTTTACGCCGGAAATGAACACATGGAAGGTATATTAGGATTGGTGAATTGCGTCAGACGCGAACCAGGAGGTGATAAAATCAAGTGTTACTTTATGATGGACGAAGCGCCAAAATTTGACCCCCAAATAAGATTTTACAGTCAACAAATTAGAAACAATTTGGCCATCAATATCTACAAAGATGGAAGATGGGGAACATATAGACATTTGCTTCTGGAAGAACAAGACAAAATTGCTTGTAGTCACTGTTACGCAAATGTTACTTCACGAGGAGAAATATCAACTCTAAGATGGCTGGAAGGAGGGTTAACCGAACAAACCCCACTACCAGAAGAAAAATATTTCCTTAAGGTATGTAGTAGATGCTAACTATTGGGGTTTATATTACTCTTGTTACAGGCCATTTACTCTGCGGTTAATTTCAAAGACATCATGGTAGCTTCTGGTCGTGTTAGCGTGGAATCATTATCAGTAAATCGTCTCCAGCAAGACTGTTTGTTAGGATTTGAATTCTCAGGAGTGGACTTGAGGTATTTTTTTGGTTTGCAAATACATATGATCATACTTTGATTGACTTTCCAGTGGTCGCCGCATTTTTGGAATGAATGAAGCTCAAAGTTTTGCCTCTTATGTTGTTGCTGATAGTTGTTACTCTTGGGAAATTCCGGAATCGTGGACTTTCGAAGATGCAGCAACAGTTTCTGTTGTGTACTCTACTGTTGTTCAAGCCCTACAAGTAGATAATAATTCAACGAATATATACATACAGTTATCGTACTTTTTTGGTTGAAGGTGAAAACTTTGAAACCGGGAACTTCCATCTTGATCCATTCAGCAACTGGTGGAATTGGGCTTGCAGCTCTGAATATTTGTGTTTATCACCAGTGTGATATTTACGTTACGGTAGGAACTGAAGAAAAAAGACACTACTTAAACAAACATTATCCACAAATTCCGAATAACCACATCGGTAATTCTCGTGATACTTCATTTGAAGAAATGATAAAAAGGGAAACAGAGGGTCGAGGAGTGGACATTGTCTTAAACTCTCTTACTGATGATAAACTTAAAGCTTCGATTCGGTGTTTGGCACGTGGTGGACGATTTATGGATATTGGCAAGTTTGACTTGGCTAATGACACTAGTCTAAATCTTTTGTTTATGGAGAGGGAAGCGAGTTATCGTGGAGTGATGCTAGATCGAACTTTTAAGGATTCGAAGGAACTGAGGCTTGATATATATAAATCGATTAAAGATGGTTTGAAAGCTGGTTATGTTAAACCACTGCCTAGAGTCGTATTTAATACTGACGAAATAGAAGCAGCTTATAGATATATGATGTCGGGTAAACATATCGGCAAAGTTTTAATTAAAATACGTAACGAAACAGAAGATATGGATAGAAAATTTCCAGCTTATCCAAAGTAAGTTAGATTATTCAAGCGATCTTCGACTTTCAACCTTTTTCAAGATTCAACTGTGACGTACGCTACTCTTATGTCATAATTGGTGGATTAGGAGGAATTGGTTTGGAATTAGCCGACTGGTTAGTTTTACGAGGGGCAAGAAAGCTGATTCTTGTGTCACGATCGGAAATTCAAACCGGATATCAAAAACAAAAACTCCGGTACTTACATTTTAAACTAGTTACATCACACTAGTGTAGAAACTTTCAGAATTTGGACATCTTATGGTGTAAAAGTCCAAATTTCCACAAAAGATATAACCACTGAGCGAGGCTGCAGAGATTTAATCGACGAAGCTAACCACCTGGGACCTCTCGACGCAATTTTCAATTTAGCCGTAGTCCTTAAAGATGCTCTTTTCGTGGATCAGACGGAAGAAACCTTCCTTGCTTCTCTAACCCCAAAGGCTCAAGCCGTAGTACACCTAGATCACGTCACCCAAGAGTTGTGCCCAAACTTGAGGTTTGTTAGTATTCACGTTAATCAGATGGTTCATAATTCGTTTCCAGATATTTTGTGGTGTTTTCATCAGTGTCCTGTGGTCGTGGAAATGCCGGTCAAAGTAACTACGGGATGGCAAACTCAATTATGGAGAGGGTATGCGAAAGGCGAAAACGTCAAGGGTTCCCTGCTTTGGCTATCCAGTGGGGAGCAATTGGTGATGTACTAGACCCTTTTAGTTTCTTCAACTCTGCAAGTACTTTTTAAGGTTGGCTTGGTGGCTAAAATGCAAAAAGAGAACAAAGAGTTGGTGATTGGTGGAACTTTGCAACAAAAAATTTCTAGTTGTTTGGAGGTCTTAGATAGGCTTCTGACGCAAGATCACCCAGTTGTGGCAAGTATGGTGGTGGCTGAGAAGCACAATAGAAGTTACGGTCTTCTTAGTGCGGTGGATGCAGTTGCTCAGGTGTTAGGAATTAAAGACATGAAAACTGTAAGCCAACATTCCACTTTAGCAGAACTAGGAATGGACTCGATGATGGGTACGGAAGTAATACAGCTCCTGGAGAAAGATTTTGAAATATATATAACACCAAAAGAAGTACGAAGTTTAACATTTGCGAGGTAATAGACGGTGTGTGTTCACCGAGATGTTTGAAATTGGAAATTTTAGGTTAATTGAGATAGAAAACGAGCGAAGGAGTGTTGTTGATGAAAAATCGACACTTAAGACACAGCTGGGTACCAATACGCTAATTCAGTGCATTCCTACTGGCACAACGCATACAGTTTCAATTATAAAATTATGCAGTCAGGTACTTGAGGACCAGGAAGCTCCTCCTGTGTTCATTTTACCGGGTATCGAAGGAGTTTTCAAACCACTTGACCCACTGGTCAAACAACTAAAAGCACATGTTTTCGGGGTTCAATATAACTATAATAACCCCGAAGACACGATTCAAGGAATTGCGTTAAATATATTACCGGTGAGGTTTTCATTTAAGGCGAATTTCGTCACTTGTGTATAATTTTAGCACATACAAAAGTGTTTAACTAGTAAAAGCAATTTTTTTATCGTTGGATATTCCTTCGGAACGACAGTCGGCTTAGAACTCGTCTGTTTACTAGAAGAAAGAGGCTACGAGGGTACAGTTGTTGTAGTTGAAGGCTCTCCGTCATATTTAAGATCTTCAGTCAAAAACTATATTCCAGAAGAAACCGAAGCCGAATTTCAAACCACCCTTATGTATAAAATTCTCACTATTTTGGTGCCTTTAGATGTGCTGGAGCAATACAAGGTAGCAATAACCAGCTGTCTGATAGTGTGTTAACAAAATTCTTTCAGGAAAAATTCTTGAAATGCGAAAATTTGCAAGACCGAATTGACTTGGTTCTTTTACTTGTGCCCACTGATATCGTTAATAGAGAAAAACTGGACAGGCAAGCGCCTGTTACTTTGTACAAACGTTTCAAGGCTTTGATTAACTATGAGTTTACACACAATAAAATTAAGTCCTCTGTGCATTTATTTAAAGCGAAACATTTTCTCGTTGAAGCAGAAAATGATTATCAGTTGACAAATTTGTGTGAAAAACCAGTGCACATAAATACAATAGAAGGTGACCATGCGACTATTTTGGACCAACCAGAGCTTTCTGACGGCATCAATAAGATCTTAAAAATGTTTTAGTATGGTAGAAGTAAGTTAGTAAGTTATTACTGTTTATGCAATTTTAAGTCATTAAGTCAATAAATATATACATACTACTAAAAAATATACCGCAGAGTGACATTGCAAAAACCAGAGACGTACATTTTATTGCTTCTAGAATCTAAATGAAGCTTAACAATATTTATTAAATAATTAAATAATACGTGTTTCAGTCTTATGTATACAGCTTTTGGAAAAAAGTTTTGAAAAAATCGAAACTTTTTGATTTATTTGTATCTATAAATAATAAATTTCTTCGGTAGCTAAATAGTACTATTATTCCGGAAGAGTCGTTTCTCACTTATTTATGAAAAATATGAAGATGTGGCGGCACAATAACACACGGACATAGATAAGTCGCCTCGCGGTCTAGTGGTCTGGATGCTTGCCCGGAAAGTGACAGGCGTGGGTTCGATTCCCCACCGAGGTAACAACAGCACCCCAGCACGATCGCGCGCTGTGTTGCCGGGGGGGGGGGGGGGTACTGTGTCGGCACAATAACACGTGTAAAAGTGGAAAATGTTATATCTTCAAAACAACCAGTCAATATTGGTGTCCCTCAGGGGACAATATTAGGGCCAACTTTGTTTATAGTCTACATAAACGACTTGTTTAGATCTAGTACACATAGCATAACCGTCTCATATTCAGACGATACAAATTTATTAGTGAAATGTAAGACCACGGAAGAAGTTAAATCAGTAGTAATAGATATATTTGGTAAATTGACTGTTTGGATTGAGCATAACCATTAGGTTATTAATAAAAGTAAGACAAACTGCTTAGTTTTAAAAAATTCTAATTCGAATACTGAGCCCGTTCAAGTAATGAAGATAAATAATAATGATATTATAAGCTGTGTCCCAGAAACAAAATTCCTTGGATTGATTATAGATACAAATTTGCGGTGGTTTGGGCACATAGATTACGTATGTGCTAAACTTGCAAAAACTCGTTACGGTTTATGTATGACTACAAGTCTGTGTAGTGAAGAGGTTGTAAAACAATTGTATTATGGAGGTTTCCATAGTGCAATGAAATATGCTATTTTACATTGGGAATACTCTTCAGATGCACATAGAGTTTTTATCTTACAAAAAAGGGCAATTCGTATAATAAGATTCCTGCAAATATAGTTTTAGGGCCCTTAATATGTTAACATATATTTATAAAATTCTTTGCTTTGTATATAAACATAAGTCTAAATTTGTGAACTGAGGAGGATTTAATCCCTGTACGGCATAAAACAACTTTATTTTAGAAATCTTTAAGCTACAATGGATGTAAATTTTTTAATCATTTACCAATAGAAATTAAGTCCTCTTCTAATATTTACATATTTAAAGGTGTCGTCAAAAAAATTTTAAACGAGAAGTGTTTATTTAGCAATGATGAATTTTTCCATTGAAAAATTGTTGCATTTCATATTGTATGTTTCTTGTTAGTTGTTACAATTTGGTAATGTTCTTTATTTATATGCGTATACATAATATTTTTACGTCTCTTGTACAACTGACTGTAGTGATTTTGTACAATGAGTAATAAACATTATAATTAAATGTTTTCCTGGAATTTGTACTAAAGCATAATTTATTTCATTTTTCGTACACCGATTCGGTTTAAACCTGTTTATTTTAATACAGGTTATGCCATTACATTTGTATTCATTATTCCAAGTCTATTTTTATCAAACTAACTGAGTGACAATGTTACATACATTATTTTCAAGTGACCTGCAAGCCGCTTTATGTTCCATTGTTTTCTAGTAGTTTTTGAATTATCTTCATACATTTGTTACACCCTATCCCCCATAAATATTTTGTTTTAGGCACAATAGCTGTTTTATGAGTTAAGATATCACCACAGAGAAGAAAAATCAGACAAGAGAAGAAGAACTAGGGGAAAGCTAAAGAAAATGAATAGAACCACGTTAGCGAATTAAAGGAAACGTCACAACTTTCTCTGTTTTGAAGAAGAAATATAATTTTTTACTGACAAAGATTTTGAAGTTCATAAATATTTGAAATAATACCAGAAATATAGTTTTGATTTATTCCATGTTTGCAAGTAAAATAAAAGAAAAAATACAAAACTACTCCAGCTATCTTTTGCATTTCTCATTTTTCATAAACCCGTTTGAATTTTGTTGCGCAAAAATATGCACATTTGCTACATTTGACATTCAAAAATTCAAATCAGAGTTTTATAAAACAGGTTAATGAAATAACCTGCACAGGTTTGATTACATTTCACACTGTCAACAGGTGTATAATATTTACATTAATATTAATTTGTTTGGTTTAAGGTAAATTTGTCATTGTATTTAAACGATTTATAGTGGTATAATGGTTTTATGAGTGGATGTCCTGTTCATTGTTAGTTTTTGGAATAAATTAACTTATGTAATGTGAGAAAAAATACAAAACAACCTGGATATTAATTAATTAATAAAAATATAAATTATCAATGAACATATTTTCTCCTTTTGGTGGTTTCTGTAGTTAAGATGATTTGCTTATTCTTTACACCTACTTCTACGTATGAGGATTTCATTGGTCTTTAGGTCAAGAATCAACAGACTAGGTTTATTGTGTTCTATTCTGTTTTTTGTTAGGACGGTGACATCTCATTTAATTCTTACTCGCTCGTTGGACATCACGTCTTCTACTTTATAGTTCTCTAATTTTCTTGTTTTTGTGAGCCCACATTTTTTTACTACGATAAGATGGATACATCTAACTATATCGTAGAGTATACTGGGCATTGCTTCAGACGTTCTTCCACTTCGAAGTTCGCAGACTCTGGAGCAGACCTCTTAACCGTAAAACGCCATAGAGGCTGGAAATCGAATAAATTGGCGGGGAGTACATTGATACATCAAAAGAAAATTTAAAAAAAGGTGGAAATTAAAATTTTAGGAGAAATTATGCCGAGTAGTTCTTGAAATTCATTACACCACTAGTGAAATAATATTGAAGATTACATAAGTCAAATAGCCGTCATAATAAGTGATTATCATGTATGCAAGCCTGTAATTTCATCCGTACGTACCACACATTACCTGGTAAATCTACAACAACAAATCTTGCAGTCTTCAGTCAGTATACAGGGTGTCTCAGAAATAAGTACATTAATTTTAATCAGTTATAGAGCTCATTGAACTCAACAACTTTTTTTAGTAAAGTTTTGTCAAGAACTTTTTAATTATCAAGTTAAAAATTGTTGAAATTTTATCCCAATTAAGGTTACCCGCCCATGGATCCTCAGTCACCCATAGACACTAATAATTATTATAATTAATAATTTACGGTCAAAAAGAGTTACTAGGATACGTATTTTCCTAATCTTGTCAATGTGACAAACATTTAGAGAGAAATTGAAAATCCTGCACCCTAATGGCGTACGGAATTTCATCGGCCCAAATGTGGGTGTTGAACACCTTCCCTCGTGTAACCGACCTCATCAGTTGATGGTATAAGAGATACAAAATTTGCTTGTTCGTTTATTTTTCTATTAACCCACTCACAAAAGTTTTGCCTACGTGGTAAGTCTGATAGTTTCAATAACTGAACTTTCTGGTCCTGAAAGGGGTACATTTGTTCTCTGAGTATCCTCCAAATACTACTCTCCGATACATCACACTAGACAGTGATACGTGCTAGTGCCCGGTCGAGCTTCGACACTCTTCAAAACAGCTTCTTCAATATTAGCAATTCTATTACTACGTAACTTACCCCGATCCTAAGGTGCAGGTTTAAAAGATCCGTACTCTCGAAAATGCTGCAACGTTCTTAAAACTGCGCACATTTGGCAGACGACGATTTGGGAGGTTTTCTGAAAAAATTCGTTGGGCGCGAGTGCCGTTTCCCCGAGCTTCACCGTACGTTAAAACGATATCGGTGCATTCCACATTTGAAAACAAAGCCATTTCAACACATTTCGTTTATAAATTAGAAATCTGTGCCAAACAAACTTTAAAGAGACAACGTTTAGTAAAAACATTGACATAAAAATGATTGTCAGTGTCAAAACGATTGCTAGGGTACCTTCTTCATTGTTGTAGTGTTGTTATTATTTAAGTTATTATTTAAGGTGAACATAGACGGCTCGTGAATATATGGGTGGGAAAATTCGAAATTCGACTTGAGTTTTCGAAAAAATGCTAGATAAAAAAGTTGTTCCGTTTCACGAGTTCTGTTACTGGTTAAAATTAATGTACTTATTTCTGAGACACCCTGTATTTGTGAAAGTCTTGACTCTCTTTATCAAGTCGGCATTGTGTATACTGATTTTCGCTAAGCATTCGATTCCGTTGATTAATATTTTTACTAAAAAACTTAGATGACTAAAATTCGCTGACTGCTTATTCAACTTAATAAAATCATACTTGTTTGTGTGGGCGGACTCAGTTGTATTGTAATTGTGGGGTGATAGGCATGTTTTCCATGTTTTTTACCCCACTATCCGGGGTACCTCAAGGATCCAATTTGGACATTATGTTGTTTTTGATATTTATCAATGACATAGCCACCATTTTTTCTAGTAATTGCTTGTTGTCTGCAGATGATCTAAAGTTACATTACAAACATTGCAAAAAGAAACATTTGAGTACCAGCTTCAATGGAAGTGTTATTTTCTTACAATTATGTGTCTAGCGTAATTAATAAGGTTACAAATAATTGTTTTATTAAATTGTCAGCATTACTCTGATTTATAGGTAGGTACTTATTAGTTCTAGCTTGTAAGTAATTATATAGATAGGAGCTATTTTCAGTGTTATATATATATATATACATACACATGTAATTTTTTGTTTTTTAGTAAATAACGTGCCTAGCCCAAAATCCCCCCCCCCTCCTGAAATCTGAGCCCCTTGACCACAGTGGCAGCATTGCAGAGACAGTTCTCTATGTTTACCTTTGTCACTATCTTTTTCCGGAATTCTATTTTCTTCTGTAACTGGTACGTCTTCTTTGTAAATTCTTTTACTCATAATCCTGATAGTTTCAGTTTTTCTTAGTTTTGTTTCTTTATCTACATCATCTTCATGAAAAATTTTGCGCTTGGCCGGTTTTCTTTTGGTCTTTTCATTCATTTTCTCCAGCTTGCGCTGCTTCTTTGCTTCTTTCTCGTCTAAAACTGTTTTGCAGGAGTAGATGTAGTGCTGTTTCTTTCTAACTTGCTGGTTTTTTTTGGATGTGCTGTTTTTATACCTGATGATCTAGGTAATGATATTAAATCATAAAATGAAATGGCTTCTTCTGCTTTGGCGCCGTTGTCTTCATTTCCGTTATTAGTTTCAGTTGGTCTGATTTTTATTAAGGTCAAATGTCTCTACAGAAGCAAACGCAACTGCAGAAGCAAAATCTTCTTCCGTGAAAAGACTAGGATTTACAAGGAAATTTAAATCCTTTTATTGCTTTTTCGGGTGTCACCACCCGACCAAATGCTTTATTGAAAATTTCGGCTATTTTATTTGTCGTTATCCTTTCCCCTATATGACTTCTTAGGTAACTACTGCACTCAGTATTCTAAGCAGTTTTTAATGAAGAATAGAAACTAAGTGGCTGGAATGATTATCGATTACTAAGTAACACTGGATCTTCTTTACTTGACTTAACAAATTTACCTTTGAAACTTGATTACGACTAGATGATTTTAACGTCAAATTATGTTTAGCCATATACCAAACCTCTACAACGGTTAATGGATCTCAACTTTTTACCGGTGACTAAAAAATGTTCTACTTGATGGAGTTGCACTTTTCCGCGACAAAAGATTGGTTTATAACAGAAAAAATCATTGGCCGGTATTACCCTCATGGTCGCTATTCCCCTACTTTCCCCTAACTGCTGATACAGAACATTCTTAAAATACGAAAATAACAGGTATGCTAATGAACTAAACTGTTAAAACAATTGTAATTTAAATGTTTTTTAGCCAGTACGTTTAAAATGCATTCCATTTCCGTTATGCAGTGTATAAATATAATCCAGGACCAACAATTTTTTGCACGCAGTCTGTATTTTGAGATATAAGCAGTGTAATAGATAATTTGCACATACCTCTGAATATGGAGTCCCACGAAGCTAAAGACAAAGAATCATTTATGCCTAATTTTCAATATGATCGCTGGTTATCATCTCCACCACCTGGAGATGAAGTAGTTATATCCGGTATGTCTGGTCATTTTCCAGAGGCGGAAAATATTTTTGAATTTCGGGATAACCTATTCAACAAAAAGGACATGATTACTGTGAACGATAAAAGATGGGTAGCAGATCACCACGATTTACCAAAAAGAAATGCTCCTATTGATAATATCGACAAACTCGATGCTGGATATTTTGGACTACATTATCGTCAAGTTAATTTTATGGACCCTACTTTGAGAGTTCTTATGGAAACGGTTATAGAAGCTGTTATGGATGCTGGAATTAATCCGTCAGAGCTCAAAGGAAGTAAAACTGGTGTATTTTTGGGCCTCTGTTGGTCAGAGGTGGAAAATCCAACGCTTATGAAACTAACGGAGCCGCAGAAGTTTGCAATAACAGGGTAAGACAATTTTGTAATCTATTTTGAAAACTAGCTTTGCTTGCACAGATATGTTTAAAACAGGTGGTTGATCTTTAACTTAATAACCACTGCTTAGAGATGTGTTCATTTTCAACACACATAGTAAATTCTTTGCAGTGATGGATGTAACTCGTTTCATTTTTATGTACTTTGCAGTTTCTTTAAATCTTTGTTTTCTCATCGTCTCAGTTACTTTCTGAAAATTAAAGGGCAGTCCTTTGTATCTGACGCAGCTTGTAGTAGTTCTGGGAACGCCCTCAATGCTGCATTTAGATCTATCAGAAGTGGTCAATGCGAAAATGCGATTGTGGCTGCTAGTGCTTTAACTTTACATCCTGCAGTTACGATTCAATTTTTTCGGTACAGTCATTTGTATCCGCTAATAATTTTTTACTCTAACAAAGTGTTTTTAGTCTGGGAGTTTTATGTCGTGACGGGGTTTCCAAAGTATTCGATGAGGACGCAAACGGTTACGTTAGAAGTGAGGCTTGTACATGTATTTTGCTCCAGAAGTCTAAAAATGCAAAACGCATTTACGCACAAATTATTAATACGAAGGTGAACTCCGACGGTTTTAAAAAGGAAGGCATAACATATCCTTCTTCGCAAATGCAGGAAGAGCTTATGACTGAAATATACAAAGAAAGTAGTATTGACTTCTCAAAACTCAGCTACGTCGAAGCACATGGTACTGGTACTCAAGTTGGTGATCCTGCAGAAGCTAATGCTATCGACAGGGTTCTAGCGAAAAAATGTGGAAAACAACTTCTTTTCGGTTCAATAAAATCGAATATGGGTCATACAGAACCCGTTTTAGGTCTCTGTTCAATTGTCAAAGTACTGATTGCTATGGAAACCGGATTTATACCACCCAATATCAATTTGAAAAGAATTAGAAAAGGATTGGAAGGGACTGAACAAAACCGGATGAAAATTGTGACAGAAACTACTGAGCTTCCAGGACAATATCCCATTTGTAGGTGTTAACAACTTTGGTTTCGGCGGCAACAATTGTCACATTATATTACAAAGGTTTAAAAAAGGCAAAATTAATGGTGGCCTGCCAAAAGACGATGTTCCTAGATTAATTTGTGTCAGTGGTCGTACTAATGAAGCAGTTTTGAACATTTTAAACGACTTTAGTAATAAAGCTTTGCATGAAGAATATATTGGTCTCCTTCATCAGTTATATAAAATGAATATTCAAAATCATTTATGCAGAGGATATGCAATAGTTTCTAAACAAGGTGTTCTGTCGATGTCATCAAAACGTTTGCCTCCTAAACAACCCCATTTGCATATATTTTTTGGACAATTCGTCAAAAATTTTAAATTACTAGCTTGTTATTTATTGCAATTTTCAGCTTTTTTTAGAGACGTCATAGCAAGGTGAGTTTAGATTTTCTTCTGGGTTGTTAATTAAAAGACACTGAATTTCTGGTTGAAGAATTAATAGTATCTTGGAGGCCAATAAAGTAAAAACTTTTGAAGAAATTTCAACATCGAGAACAAAAATAGATGAAGATATATTAGGATCAGTGTGTTTGCAATTAGTCGTTGTAGATATGTTCAAAAAGTTAGAACTGTTTCCTGTTAGTGTTTTCGGTGATGACGATGGCAAGATTATTGGTGATTATTACTATAATATAATCCAATAAGAGGCTATATTAGAAGCTATAAAACTTAGTATCTTGAAAGTTGACTCAAGAAATTTCGTGTTTGAAAATTCTAATAAGCCACCCAAAGGCACGATAACATTAAATCTTTCCGATGTGTCGATCACAGATAAAGATTATTTACTGGTAGAAAATGGTACTGTGAATTTTTTGGATTTGCTTGGAAGGTAAAGAATTACAGTTTCTGAAATGAAATCATAATTGAATTTGTAGGTTATATATTGAAGGATACCTTCCCCAAGTTCACAAGATTTACCCTCAAGTCGAATTTCCTGTAAGTAGAGGCACCACGAGTATTTCTCCTTTTATTCAGTGGGATCACAAAACGTCGTGGCTGGGATATAAGTTTAAAGGATTTATTTCATTTATGCAAAAGGAACAGGTGGAATATCAAATTTCGTATTTATATGAAGAACACCAGTTTATGAAAGGTCACGTTATCGACGGTAACTTTAGACACAACTTTTATTTTATATTTAAAATTATAAAAAATACATTTTCAGGACGCAACCTTTTCCCAGCTACCGAATATTTAAAATTGGCTTGGCAAACATTTGCCGACACTAAGCATCTTGAGCTTGATACCACTGCTGTAATTTTCGAAAATTGTAAGTTTATAAGAGCTGTTACAATGCCTAACAGTGGTTATGTAAAACTTCTCGTAACGCTGCAAAGAGGAACAGGCTGTTTTGAAATTCATGAAAAAATTCTTTAGTAGTTCGTGGACGTATAACCATTTGTTCCAATTCAATTGGCCAACAACTTAATCTTCCACCTAACACCTTTGTCCACGATGATAATTTAAAAATATTGCGTCAAGGTGAAATTTACCGGGAATTTTATCTAAGGGGTTACAATTACAGGCAAGTGTGGTTTCAGTAAAATAGAGATATTTGATTTTTTTTTGTAGCGGGTTGTTCAAGGGTATAAAAACATGTAATGTAGATGCATCTATGGGTTTAATCAAGTTGGACGATAACTGGGCTACGTTTATGGATAACATGCTTCAACTTCAAATTCTTCAAACTGATACAAGACTGCTGTTCGTTCCCGTTGGAATTAAGAAAATAATCATTGACCCCATCAAACATAAACAAATCGTCGAAAACCAGAATGGAGAAGAGTGTTTATTACTTGCACATACGAACAAGGATTGTAACATGATAAAGTAAGTAATTCATTTATTAATGTTGATTTAAGGCTAAGTGTTATCTGGCTCAGATCTGGTGGAATCGAAATACACGGGCTTCAGGTTAGATCTATTTTCAAAAAAAAGGCAAGATTGGAACCAGTTTTAGAAAAACACGTTTTCGTTCCAAATGGTGCGACTTTAGTTTTAGAAGAAGTTGTGAGGGTCAATACACAGATTATTTTCGAAAATACTTTAGAGCATCACCTCAAAGCTCTGGATTTTGTAAACGAATTCACTGATATAAGTTCTACACATGTAATGGGTTTCGTCAACAAAGCTTTAGAAGATATGCTATTAGTTGCTCCTGATCTTACCATTTCGTCAAAAACAACCTTAAATGAAACACCTGGTATAAAGTGCGAAACAGTTACTTTAACGCCAGAAAGTAATATACTTTTGTACATTGGTAGTAAAATTTTACAGCAATCAAACACTTTAAAACAGTTTTTCGGGCCTCTTAGAAAAAATGGGTTTATTTTAACACGGGAGGAGACCAATTTTAGACTACAAAAAAGTACTAATGAAGTAGAAATCCTCACTGACTATATGACAGAAAATGAAAGAATTATTTTATTGCGGAAAAAATTGGAAACTGTTGAGCCCAAACTGGTTGAAGTGTCTTCGAGTAATTTCGAGTGGCTACCTGAACTGCAAAACGCGTTGAATCTTGGAAAAAATGTCATAGCTTATGCAACAAATCAAAAACCCGAAGGAATATTAGGGTTAATAAACTGTATCAGAAGAGAAACAAATGGAAGTTTAGTTAAGTGTTTCTTCATGATGGACGATGCTCCAAAATTCGATCCGCAACACTCGTTTTATAGTAAACAGATCAGTAAAAACATGGATGTGAACATTTACAAGAACGGATCGTGGGGAACTTACAGACATTTGCGTTTGGAAAAAAGACCTAAGGTCAACAGCGAACATTCTTATGCGTATTTCAAAAATAGAGGGGATATATCCAGTTTTGAGTGGTTAGAAGGAGCTTTAAATACAGACGTGCCCTTAGAAGAAGGGCGAATTTTGGGTCTAGTAAGTCCCAGGAGGGTGCCTCCACGATATATGATACTGATTTTGTTTGTAGACTTATTATTCGTCAGTTAATTTTAAAGATATTATGGCTGCCTTTGGTCGTGTGAACCCAGAATTATTAGAACCACGTCGTCTTGCCCAAGAATTTCTAACAGGGTTTGAATTTTCAGGAATAGATTTAAGGTTGCATTGATCACAGCTTCAGGTAAATAATAAGTTATGCAATGGATTTGTAGTGGTCGTCGGATAGCTGGAATTACTGACTGCCATGGCATTTCCTCCCACGTTATTGTTGATCCTTCTTCAGTTTGGCAAGTACCCGACTCATGGACACTCGAAGATGCAGCCACAGTTCCTGTTGTATATTCTACTGTTATTTATGCTCTTTTAATGGTACGTTTGTAATAGAATGCATCAAATGCAATCTCTTGTCTTACAGGTTGGGAATATGCAACCGGGTTGTTCAATTCTTATTCACTCTGCGACTGGTGGTATTGGATTGGCCGCTTTGAACGTTTGCCTTCACTATAAATGCGAAATTTACGTAACTGTTGGAACTCAAGAAAAAAGAGGCTACTTAAAGAAGTATTACCCTCAAATTCCAGACAGCCACATAGGTAACTCACGGGATACATCATTTGAACAAATGATCAAAAGGGAAACTAAGAGTAGAGGAGTTGATATTGTTTTGAACTCGTTAAGTGAGGATAAGCTACAAGCTTCGGTTAAATGTTTAGCACGAAATGGACAATTTATGGAAATCGGCAAATACGATCTGGCTAATGACAGTTCTTTAAATCTTTTATTTATGAAAAATAAAGCCATTTATCATGGAATAGTATTCGATGGGCTTTTTAAAAGTTCACTTAAAGAACTGAAGTCTAAATTGATAAACCATTTGTTGGAAGGAATTAAGGAAGGTTTTGTAAAACCACTGCCTAGAATTTTGTTTAGTCCGGATCAAGTGGGGGAATCTTATAGGTACATGATGACAGGTAAACATATTGGCAGAATTTTAATCAAGCTTCGGAATGAAGATGAAAATAACGTTGATGTGACTAGGATTGATAAATTACAAATTTTGCTCGCATCCACGTTCAGTTACAAGTGGAAATGGCATAATTATCACTGTTTATATGTACGTTATTAGCTAATGTCATTAACAAAACTCACATTTTTTCTCCTAATTTCCGCCGTATTCCGTTATCACGTCGATTCAACAAATAGTTTTTGTTACGAACAAAGTTAAAAAAAAAACACATCCGAAAAACTGGTTTTGAACAATATTTTATACCAAATTTAAAGAAAAGGTTTCAAGATTTTGTTAAAATTGCCCTGTTAGCAGAATTCTGCTGTTGATTAGTAATATTATTATTTAGGACCCAATACTGACCCGGAAATGACCGGTATTCAGACAAGACTTCTATCATTACGGATACTAAGATCAAGTAATATGCATTGATATTATTATTATTATTATCATTAAATTTATCTACAGAAAACATTGTATTTACTAACCATATAAATAAAATATTATAAATGCATGTATACAAAAATATTTAAAACATATTCAAAATGCTTTACTTTCACTTCCTTCAACATTTGTTATTAATTTTTCGAAATTAGGGGATCGTCAATCATCGCAGTCTCTTTTTTGATTATTAAAACAACAATGTCAATGAGATAGATATATCTAATACTATTAAACGAGCAAAGTTTGTATATATATATATATATGTAATGGGTTTCTCGAAAACGGCTCTAACGATTTCGATGAAATTTACAGGTTAGGGGTTTTTTGGGTCAAGAAATCGATTGATCATAGTTTTAACTTCTGAAAATTACAGCTTCATGCATTTTCAGCAATTTTCAGGCAGTGAATTATATTTGTTGCTAGGCAACATCATATGACACTACACGAACACGAGATTGTTTTATATGAGAAGTTTGGGTGACAGTCTGACAGTACGTTTGACGTACCTTTTTATCTTCAATTGTACGTACCGAAACATACTCCACTGTATAGAGGACGTTGAAATTCACCTCCTGAGGTGAGAAAATTTACCAAAAACTAAAGAGTGAGCGGATAAAAGGCACACGAAAGTGTGTTGAATTGAGATTATTTTGTCAAGCATTCATTTCAGAGGTTCCACGGTCAGTGTCAACATGTGATCGTTTTCGGGGATGGGACCGTGTTATTTAAGTTTTTGGGCTCAACGTTTCGCACACTTTCGTAAATGGCATCTTCGGGAGCAGGGTTGAGATTGAGAAATTAGGAATAACACAAAAGAGCACGGTAACTCAGTATGTTAACCACACCAGAGGCGAAACTCTTCTGGCAGTAAGAATGTGGTTGTGACCTTTTTCTAGAGTCGAGAGAGAGAACTAGGAAAAAAAAAACGACAGAGAGAAAACTTGGGTAACAAATGAGATGTCAAACAATAATTCCAGTTTTCTGTTCTTTAATCTCTACATGTCACTTATCAGTGTTTAAAACAAAGACTGCTTATGGACTTTCTTTTTTAATGTGTATTTTTAAGTAGCGCGTGTACTTCAAAATGCATACTATACGCATATTTATCTGTCCTAATCTGATCTAATACTACCAAACGAGCCGAGTGAAACTCGGTCAACCAGATATTATTATCAAAATGTAAGGAGTGTGAGATCTGTGGTTAACAATGTTTATGCTGGGTTGTCTGATTGTGAACGTGATATTATTTGTTTGTCGGAAACATGGTTAGATTCCTCTATCTCTAACTCGGAACTTATCCCTAAAGAATTTCATGTCTTCAGAGCCGATCGGGATTTTATTGCAACAAGACGCAAACGTGGAGGTGGTGTGCTGCTTGCAGTTCATAATAAATTTATAGTACGCATAGAATTGTCTAAACCCAAATTTCCATCTTTAGTAGATGTCGTGGGTTGTAAAATTAATTGTCATTCTCAGAGTATATGTATTCTGACCATGTATGTACCTCCGGATATACCCGTAACAGACTTTGAATATTTCGTGGAATGTCTTGAAAATTACGCTTTACAGTATCCCAATTTACTCTTAATTGGAGACTTCAATGTGCCCAACTTCTTTACTAACGCTAATGATGCGAAAACTCTTTCAATAAAGAATATGATGTCACTACTGAACTTAACGCAAGTTAATACTGTCCCTAACTCTGATGGTCGTTTTCTAGATTTAGTTTTTTGTTCACTAAATAGCTGCATAGTTACTCACGACTCATGCCCCATAGTAATCGAAGATAAATATCATCCAGCACTGCACATTAATCTTGGAGTGAAAAATACCTCTTATGTTAACTTCCCCATATGTACAACTACCAAAATCTACAATTTTAGGAAAGCCAATTTTATTATGTTGTATGAAGATATACTTAATTCAGACTGGCATTTTCTATATCAAATTACTGACGTCGATGAAGCATGCGAATTTTTTTATAAAAGTTTGTATACAATTTTGGGCAAACATGTTCCCATTTTTAAATGTAAAAAATATAGTTATCCCAGGTGGTACTCCATAGAGCTTAGAAGTATGATAAAGGAGAAATACAGAGTTCTTCGGAAATGTAAACGTAAATATTCTGTTCAACTACATAATGAATTCACTTCTCTACGGCGTAAAGTAAAAACACTTATTCGCAGAGATTTTGATGATTATATTCGAAACGTTCAAAACTCATTATTACAAGATCCAAAGTACTTTTGGTCATTTATTAAGGAAAAACGGGGCCGCTCGTCTATTCCTAAAAAAGTACAGCTAAATGGTACTTCATATGACGATCCTGTTGACGTAGTAAATGCTTTTGCCAGTTACTTTTGCTCCTCATTTAATTCGTCATCGACTAATCAATAAACTAATTCGTTAAACTTCTTTAAAGGTTGCAGCAACCAATGTATCAATGTTCGAATCAATGATGATGATATTATAAAGGCCATCAGTAAAGTTAAAAATAACCATGTATCTGGTGTTGATCAAATACCAGGCTTTTTAATTGAAGACTGTTCAAATATATTTCTTAAGCCATTAGGTTACATATTCAATCTTAGTCTGAAGCATTCGTATATTCCTAAATTATGGAAAATTGCCAAAATTACACCGGTGTTTAAGGATGGCGATATTTCTGATGTGAGAAACTATCGACCTATATCTATTTTATGCAATTTTTCTAAGATTTTTGAAACCATTTTGTATAATCAAATATCTTTTAGTATTAGAGGGTGTATTTCGAATAGTCAACATGGCTTTGTTTCAGGTAGGTCGACTTCAACTAATCTGACGTCCATGTCTCAATTTATAGCTGATACTTTAGACAATAAGAGTCAACTTGATGTTATATACACTGACCTAAGTAAAGCTTTTGATACAATTGACCATCAATTATTACTCTTTAAGTTTATACGACTTTTGCAGAACTTGGTATGGATTCGATGGTGGGTACAGAAATTATTTAATTGTTGGAAAAGGATTTTGAAATCTACGTAACTTCCAAAGACGTGCGGAGTTTAACATTTGCAAAGTAATATACCATTAAAAATTGACCATTATTATTATTAATCATTAAATTAAAAATGCAGCAGCACATCTTAGTTCAAACATAATTATGTTATTTCAGATTGAGTGAAATGGAGGGAGAAAAGGAGAATAGAAATGAAGATTTTAAAAAAACACAGGAAGGCACCAATTTGCTCATTCAGTATTTTCCTGATACCGAAACTAGTCACTTACCTGTTGTTCACTTAACAAGTCAAGCAGCGTCCAGTGAAGAAGCTCCAATAGTTTTTATTTTACCAGGCGTCGAGGGAAATTTGAAACCGTTCGAAGTTCTGACTAGTTCATTGAAAGCTCATGTCATAGGAATACAATACAACTATAAACACCCTGAAAATAGTATTCAAGAAATTGCAGAAAACACGATTTCGGTTAGTACTAAATTCATACGTGTTACGGTTGTTTCAAAATTATATAATTCTTTAGCACACTGAATGTCACTTAACTAGAAATGTTTCATTTTTCCTCATTGGGTATTCATTTGGGGCTGTTGTTGGCATGTAACTTGTGAGTTGTTTGGAAAACCGAGGTTATACTGGCACAGTTATTCTGACAGATGGTTCCCCAACATACACAGTTTCTGCTGTAAAAAAAAAATTTGAGAGTGAAAGTGATGTCGAATTTCAAATGGCAGTTTTGAATAAAGTTTTGAGTTTCGTAATTCCGTTCGATGTACTTTCAGAATATCAGGTAATTTGCTATATTTTTTATTGTTATCAGTTTTTACTATTATTCTTTTAGGAAGCATTGTTAAACGCCAAATGTTTAGAACAACGAATTGATGTAGCTCTAGCTTTGATATCTCCAGAAACCATTAACATAGAGAAACTAGAAAAACAGGCACCTCTTACCCTGTATAAACGGTTGCAAGCAATGATGAATTACTGAAAAGTGTGTGGGAATTTAGCACAAGTGGTTACGATAAATGGCGATCATGTAACGATTTTAAACAACCCAGAGCTCGTTGATGGTGTCAGTAACATTGTAACTTGGCAGCAATAGTCTTACTCCATTTTATATTCATTTAACTGACTCAGAAAATTAAACGCAATGACATCTTTTATTGTTTAAGTCTTCTGCTTAAAAGTGCAGTTGTTACGTTTGTAGTAAATATGTAGTCTACATAAAAATGCCTTTTGACGTTATAAAATTGAAAATTATTGACAGGTTCTATTTGTTTATTAAAATACATACTTGAGTGGATTTTTAACCATTTTGATTTCTTTTTTACCTTACCACGCAGAAGCAAAATTATATGGTTCTACGTAAAAAGGCACTCGGTAACTTTAAAAATGGATCTTTTAATATTCTCCGCCTAAAGTTAAGTTGAAAAAAGAAAAATGAATTAGTGCTACCATGAGATACATATTAATTTATATTGTTTTGATCTGAAGTGTCTACATTAACAAATTTTCCTAGCCAGTAATAGACAGGTATTTATTTCATTGTAATAGATTTCGATTTGTCTGCGATTATAATTTTTTGAAGGGTAGAGAAACACTTCTGCATTCTCCTTTTATCAGAAAATGGTTAGAACCGCCTTTCATACTTCTGATATTTGTAATGCAATCCTTGTGTTTTACAGAATTATAGATTAAAACTGCGAAAGTTAAGAATAATGGTTAAGAAAATACCACACTGAATAGTAGATTATACATTGAGGGAGAGAAATGCATATTTTTTTTTGTAGATCTCGAGCTTCGCCCTCTCTCTACCAGCGGCGCCTCAGGGAAAACTGTTTAAAGCTTCTACTGCGTAGGTTCGGTACTCCATGGTAAAAGCTTGTATTCAAGTGGACGACAACGTGGACATAAGCAAGTATTCTAAACTAGTTTCGTTTTTGAAAAGAAATTCTGATGGATATCAGCTTATAAAGTCAAAGGTTTTGACAAGAACTGAAATTGAGACAGACGTTTTTACTGACTGCTGTCGACAAGGAATATATCATGATCAAGGTAAAAATATGGATTGACTAATTATTTATTTCAAATTTTAATCATTTGTACTGTATGTTGCTCTTATTGATGGAGTTCCGGGCGCCTGTAGAAGCGGGTCAATGAAAGTGCAAGATGTTCAAGACGCAGGAGAATCATTCAAATGCCACCTCTAAAATCAACTGGCTTTTATTTTGCTTTGAATCTCCTAAAAACCGAAGTTACCTAAGTTCGGTTGGTATAGTTATTTAATTTCCGAAAATTTTAGGAAAACAGTAGCACCTATTTTCATTAATTACCAGTTAAGTATTTAAGGGGACCATGTGGGTTCAAGGGCCAGGGCCCTTGTAATGAACTAAACTGCTAGAACAATTGTAATTCAAATACAATGGGCTTATTCAATTTCCGTTATGCAGTTTGTAAATATAGTATAAGGAGCACTTAATTTTTGCACGTAGTTCGTATTGTGAAACATAAGCTACAGGTTTATACTTTTGCAAATAAAATTTCTTTGCTGCAGTGTAACCGATAATTTGCACGTACCTCTGAAGATGGACTTCGACGAAACTAAAGACAAAGATTCATTTAAATCTAATTTTCAATATGCTCGTTGGTTATCATCTCCACCACCTGGCGATGAAGTGGTTATATCCGGTATGTCTGGTCATTTTCCAGAAGCGGAAAATATTTTTGAATTTCGGGATAACATACTCAACAAAAAGGATATGATTACTGTGAACGACAAAAGATGGGTAGCAGATCACCACGATTTACCAAAAAGAAATGGTCCTATTGATAATATCGACAAACTCGATGCTGGATATTTTGGACTTCATCATCGTCAAGTTAATTTTATGGACCCTGCTTTGAGAGTTGTTATGGAAACGGTTATAGAAGCTGTTATGGATGCTGGAATAAATCCGTCAGAGCTCAAAGGAAGTAAAACTGGGGTATTTTTGGGTCTTTGTTGGTCAGATGTGGAAAATCCCACGTTTATGCAACAAACGGAGCCGCAGAAGTTTGGAATAACAGGGTAAGATAATTTTGTAAACTGTTTTCAAAATTAGCGTTGTGTGCACAGGGATGTTTAACACAGGTTTTAATACCTTGTGCTAAACACACAGAGCAAAAACTTTGCAGTGATGGACGTAATTCGTTTTATGGTTGAATTTCATCGTCTTATTTATATATTTTTCAGTTTCCTTAAATCGATGTACGCTCATCGTCTCAGTTACTTTCTGAAAGTTAAAGGACAGTCCTTTGTATCTGACTCAGCTTGTAGTAGTTCTGGGAACGCCCTCAATGCTGCATTTAGATCTATCAGAAGTGGTCAATGCGAAAATGCGATTGTGGCTGCTTGTACTTTAACTTTACATCCTGCAGTTACGATTCAATTTTTTCGGTACAGTCATTTGTATCCGCTAATAATTTTTTACTCTAACAAAGTGTTTTTAGTCTGGGAGTTTTATGTCGTGACGGGGTTTCCAAAGTATTCGATGAGGACGCAAACGGTTACGTTAGAAGTGAGGCTTGTACATGTATTTTGCTCCAGAAGTCTAAAAATGCAAAACGCATTTACGCACAAATTATTAATACGAAGGTGAACTCCGACGGTTTTAAAAAGGAAGGCATAACATATCCTTCTTCGCAAATGCAGGAAGAGCTTATGACTGAAATATACAAGGAAAGTAGTATTGACTTCTCAAAACTCAGCTACGTCGAAGCACATGGTACTGGTACTCAAGTTGGTGATCCTGCAGAAGCTAATGCTATTGACAGGGCTCTAGCGAAAAAATGTGGAAAACAACTTCTCGTCGGTTCAGTAAAATCGAATATTGGTCATACAGAACCCGTTTCAGGTCTCTGTTCAATTGTCAAAGTACTGATTGCTATGGAAACCGGATTTATACCACCCAATATCAATTTGAAAAGAGTTAGAAAAGGATTGGAAGGGACTGAACAAAACCGAATGAAAATTGTGACAGAAACTACTGAGCTTCCAGGACAATATGCCATTGTAGGTGTTAACAACTTTGGTTTCGGAGGCAACAACTGTCACATTATATTACAAAGGTTTAAAAAAGACAAAATTAATGGTGGACTGCCAAAAGACGATGTTCCTAGATTAATTTGTGTCAGTGGTCGTACTAATGAAGCAGTTTTGAACATTTTAAACGACTTTAGTAATAAAGCTTTGGATGAAGAATATATTGGTCTCCTTCATCAGTTACATAAAATGAATATTCAAAATCATTTATACAGAGGATATGCAATAGTTTCCAAACAAGGTGTTCTGTCGATGTCATCAAAACGTTTGCCTCCTAAACAACCACGTTTGCATATATTTTTTGGACAGTTCGTCAAAAATTTTAAATTACTAGCTTCTTATTTATTGCAATTTTCAGCTTCCAGAGACATTATAGCAAGGTGAGTTTAGATTTTCTTCTGGGTTGTTAATTAAAAGACACTGCATTTCTGGTTGAAGAATTAATAGTATCTTGGAGGCCAATAAAGTAAAAACTTTTGAAGAAATTTCAACATCGAGAACAAAAATAGATGAAGATATATTAGGATCAGTGTGTTTGCAATTAGTCGTTGTAGATATTTTCAAAAAGTTAGAACTGTTTCCTGTTAGTGTTTTCGGTGATGACCATGGCAAGATTATTTGTGATTATTACTATAATATAATCCAATTGGAAGAGGCTGTATTAGAAGCTATAAAACTTTGTAACTTGAAAGTTGACTCAAGAAATTTCGTGTTTGAAAATTCTAATAAGCCACCCAAAGGCACGATAACATTAAATCTTTCCGATGTGTCGATCACAGATAAAGATTATTTACTGGCAGAAAATGGTACTGTGAATTTTTTGGATTTGCTTGGAAGGTAAAAAAATTACAGTTTCTGAAATGAAATCATAATTGAATTTGTAGGTTATATATTGAAGGATACCTTCCCCAAGTTCACAAGATTTACCCTGAAGTCGAATTTCCTGTAAGTAGAGGCACCTCGAGTATTTCTCCTTTTATTCAGTGGGATCACAAAACGTCGTGGCTGGGATATAAGTTTAAAGGATTTATTTCATTTACGGAAAAGGAACAGGTGGAATATAACATTTCGTATTTATATGAAGAACATCAGTTTATTAAAGGTCACGTTATCGACGGTAACTTTAGACACAACTTTTATGTTATATTTAAAATTATAAAAAATACATTTTCAGGACGCAACCTTTTCCCAGCTACCGAATATTTAAAATTGGCCTGGCAAACATTTGCCGACACTAAGCATCTTGAGCTTGATACCACTCCTGTAATTTTCGAAAATTGTAAGTTTATAAGAGCTGTTACAATGCCTAACAGTGGTTATGTAAAACTTCTCGTAACGCTGCAAAGAGGGACAGGTTGTTTTGAAATTCTTGAAAAAAATTCTTTAGTAGTTCGTGGACGAATAACCATTTGTTCCAATTCAGTTGGGCAACAAGTTAATCTTCCACCTAACAATGTTTTCCATGGTGATAAATTAAATATCTTGCGTCAAGATGAAATTTACCGAGAATTTTATCTAAGGGGATACAATTACAGGTAAGTGTGGTATTAGTAAAATACAGATTTCTGATTTTTTTGTAGTGGATTGTTCAGAGGTATAAAAACATATAATGTAGATGCGTCTTTGGGTTTAATCAAGTGGGACGATAACTGGGCTACGTTCATGGACAATATGCTTCAACTTCAACTACTTCAAACTGATACAAGACTGCTGTTCGTTCCTGTTGGAATTAAGAAAATAATCATTGATCCCATCAAACATAAACAAATCGTCGAAAGCCAGAATGGAGAAGAATGTTTACTACCTGCACATACGAACAAGAATTGTAACATGATAAAGTAAATAAGTTATTCAGTAATGTTGATTTAAGGCTAAGTGTGGTCTTATTCAGATGTGGTGGAATCGAAATACATGGGCTTCAGGTTAGATCTATTTTTAAAAAAAAGGCAAGATTGGAACCAATTTTAGAAAAACACGTTTTCGTTCCAAATAGTACGACTTTAGATTTAGAAGAAGTTGTGAGGGTCAATACACAGATTATCTTGGAAAATACTTTAGAGCATCACTTCAAAGCTGTGGAAATTGTAAACGAATTCACTGATATAAGTTCCACACATATAATGGGTTTCGTCAACAAAGCTCTAGAAGATATGCCATTAGTTGCACCCGATCTTACCATTTCGTCAAAAACAACCTTAAATGAAACACCTGGTATAAAGTGCGAAACAGTTACTTTAACGCCAGAAAGTAATATACTTTTGTACATTGGTAGTAAAATTTTAGAACAATCAAACAGTTTAAAACAGTTTTTCGTGCCTCTTAGAAAAAAAGGGTTTATCTTAACACGGGAGGAAATCAATTTTAGACTAGAAAAAATTACTAATGATGTAGACATTCTCACTGACTATATGACAGCAAATGAAAGAATTATTTTATTGCGGAAAAAAGTGGACTCTGTTGAGCCCAAACTGGTTGAAGTGTCTTCGAGTAATTTCGAGTGGTTACCGGAACTACAAAACGCGTTGAATCTTGGAAAAAATGTCATAGCTTATGCAACAAATCAAAAACCCGAAGGAATATTGGGTTTAATAAACTGTATCAGAAGAGAAAGAAATGGAAGTTTAGTTAAGTGTTTCTTTATCATGGACGATGCTCCAAAATTCGATCCTCAACACTCGTTTTATAGTAAACAGATCAGTAAAAACATGGATGTGAACATTTACAAGAACGGATCCTGGGGAACGTACAGACATTTGCGTTTGGAAGAAAGGCCTAAGGTCAACAGCGAGCATTCTTATGCGTATTTCAAAAATAGAGGAGATATATCCAGTTTGGAGTGGTTAGAAGGACCTTTAAATGCAAAAGTGCCCTTAGAAGAAGGGCGGTTCTTGGGTCTAGTAAGTCCAGCAGAGGTGCATCCTCGTTATATGAAAATTATTTTTTGTAGACTTACTATTCTTCAGTTAATTTTAAAGATATTATGGCTGCCTCTGCTCGTGTGAACCCAGAAATATTAGAACCACGCCGTCTTGCCCAAGAATTTCTAACAGGGTTTGAATTTTCAGGAAAAGATTTAAGGTTGTATTGATCACAGCTTCAGGTAAATAGCAAGTTATCCAATGGATTTGTAGTGGTCGTCGGATAGCTGGAATTACTGACTGTCATGGAATTTCCTCCCACGTTATTGTTGATCCTTCTTTGGTTTGGCAAGTACCCGACTCATGGACTCTCGAAGATGCAGCCACAGTTCCTGTTGTATATTCTACTGTTATTTATGCTCTTTTGATGGTACGTTTGTAATAGAATGCATCAAATGCAATCTCTTGTCTTACAGGTTGGGAATATGCAACCGGGTTGTTCAATTCTTATTCACTCTGCGACTGGTGGTATTGGATTGGCCGCTTTGAACGTTTGCCTTCACTATAAATGCGAAATTTACGTAACTGTTGGAACTCAAGAAAAAAGAGGCTACTTAAAGAAGTATTACCCTCAAATTCCAGACAGCCACATAGGTAACTCACGGGATACATCATTTGAACAAATGATCAAAAGGGAAACTAAGAGTAGAGGAGTTCACATTGTTTTGAACTCGTTAAGTGAGGATAAGCTACAAGCTTCGGTTAAATGTCTAGCACGAAATGGACAATTTATGGAAATCGGCAAATATGATCTGGCTAATGACAGTTCTTTAAATCTTTTATTTATGAAAAATAAAGCCATTTATCATGGAATAGTATTAGATGGGGTTTTTAGAAGTTCATTTAAAGAACTGAAGTCTAAGTTGATAAACCATTTGTTGGAAGGAATTAAGGCAGGTTTTGTAAAACCGCTTCCTAGAATTTTGTTTAATGCTGCCCAAGTAGAGGAATCTTACAGATATATGATGACAGGTAAACATATCGGTAGAATTTTAATCAAGCTTCGGAATGAAGATGAAAGTAACAATGGTGTGACTAGGATTGATAAATTACAAATTTGTTCGCATCCACGGTAAGTTACAAGTGGGAATTACATAATTATGACAGTTTATGTGTACGTTATTAACTAATATTATTAAGAAAACTCACATTTTTTGTCCTAAATTCCAACGTGTTGACGTTATATTTTAGATTATATCGATAGTCTTTAGGAAATCTTTATTATCAGCTGGAAAATAGGAATCTTTGGAAAAATTTGATTAGCGCGAACAGTCAGGTAGATAGATAGATTTCAGGGAATTTGTTTGCTGCCATCAGTAATAGTTCGATTAACAAGTTCATGGGTGTCATACCATGTCTTCTCTAGATATCCTTTGTGACGACCTTCTAGTCTGTACCTATCTTTTAATTTGAGTTATATATACTCATCTCAATTTTTTTAAGCGTTCTAACTCCATAATTCCGATTCGCTTATCCAAAACCTTAAACATAAATCCTATGCTTCTTAAATATCGTCAAAAATATTTATTCGTATAATTAGTGTCGTATCCATGTACTGTGTGCGGTCCTATATATAAAACAGACCTACCTCTCTCAAAAGAAAACAGTATTTTTCATGCCATTCTTTGAGAATACGCTTGTTGATGCTATACCTATGTCTGTTTTAATTTTGCTAATTTAAGGTGGTTGGTGGTGGCAGAAATTAGTTTTAAGTTTTTTTTTTGAAGATTCAGTTGTGACGTACGTTACACATATGTCATTATTGGTGGACTAGGCGGAATTGGGTTAGAACTAAGTGATTGGTTAGTTTTAAGAGGTGCCAGGAAGCTAGTGCTGACTTCAAGATCGGGACTTCAAAATGCTTACCATCAGCAAAGAATAGAGTAAAATGTATAAACCTTAAACATTTTGCCGTTCAATAAGCGATTGCAGCATATGGAAATCTTACGGTGTCCAAGTTAAAGTGTGTGCCAATGACGTAAGCACGGAACAAAAATGTGAAAATCTAATAAAAGAGGCGAACGAATTGGGACAAATCGATGCCATTTTTAATTTGGCTGTTGTTCTTCAAGACGCACTATTCGAAGATCAGACTAAAGAAAAATTCCTTGCTTCGTTGACACCAAAAGCTTACGCCACGGCATATTTGGACAAAGTTAGCAGGAAATTATGTCCAAAATTAAGGTTGTCCCTCAACGCCAACACAACAAACATTTTTATACGACATATTCTAGATATTTTGTTGTGTTTTCTTCAGTTTCTTGTGGTCTCGGTAATGCGGGTCAGAGCAACTATGGTATGGCAAACTCTGTGATGGAAAGAATATGTGAGGATCGAAAGCGAGAAGGATTGCCTGCTGTAGCTATCCAATGGGGGGCAGTTGGTGATGTAACTAAAACATTTTTCAAAGTATCTTAAAATTACACTTACTTTAAGGTTGGTTTGGTAGCGAAAATGCAAAAGGAGAATAGAGAGTTAGTGATTGGTGGCACTCTGCAACAAAGAATTTCAAGCTGCCTTGAAGTATTAGATGTGCTACTGAGACATGATTATCCAGTTGTTTCTAGTATGATAGTTGCCGAAAAACACCACAAAGGTGACATTCTCAGTGCAGTAGAAGCGGTTGCTCACGTTATAGGAATAAAAGACATCAGAACTGTAAGTCAGTATACGACTTTTGCAGAACTTGGTATGGATTCGATGGTGGGTACAGAAATTATTCAACTGTTGGAAAAGGATTTTGAAATCTACGTAACTTCCAAAGACGTGCGGAGTTTAACATTTGCAAAGTAATATACCATTAAAAATTGACCATTATTATTATTAATCGTTAAATTAAAAATGCAGCAGCACATATTAGTTCAAACATAATTATTTTATTTCAGATTGAGTGAAATGGAGGAAGAAAATGTGAATAGAAATGAAGATTGTAAAAAAGCAGAGCAAGGCACCAATTTGCTCATTCAGTATATTCCTGATACCGAAACTAGTCACTTACCTGTGGTTCACTTAACAACCAAAGTAGAGTCCAGTGAAGAAGCTCCAATAGTGTTTATTTTACCAGGCGTCGAGGGAAATTTGAAACCGTTCGAAATTCTGACTAGTTCATTGAAAGCTCATGTCATAGGAATACAATACAACTATAAACACCCTGAAAATAGTATTCAAGAAATAACAGAAAATACGATTTCGGTTTGCACTAAATGTATACGTGTTAGGTTGTTTCAAAATTATATAAATTTTTAGCACATTGAATGTCACTTAACTAGAAATGTTCCATTTTTCTTCATTGGATATTCATTTGGGGCTATTGTTGGCATAGAACTTATGAGTTTATTGGAAACCCGAGGTTATACTGGCACAGTTATTCTGATAGATGGTTCCCCAACATACTCAAGTTCTGCTGTAAAAAGAAATTTTGAGTGTGAAAATGATGTCAAATTTCAAATGGCAGTTTTGAATAAAGTTTTGAGTTTCGTAATTCCGTTCGATGTACTTTCAGAATATCAGGTAATTTGTTATATTTTTTATTGTTATCAGTTTTTACTATTATTCTTTTAGGAAGCATTGTTAAAGGCCAAAGATTTAGAACAACGAATTGATGTAGCTCTAGCTTTGATACCTCCAGAAACCATTAACAAAGAGAAACTGGAAAAACAGGCACCTCTTACCCTGTATAAACGGTTGCAAGCAATGATGAATTACATATTCAGAAATAAGAAAATCAAATCATTAGTACACTTATTCAAAGCGAAATATCCCTTGGTTGACGACGACGATGACTATCAGTTGTCAAAAGTGTGTGAGAATTTAACACAGGTGGTTACCATAAATGGCGATCATGTAACGATTTTAAACAATCCAGAGCTCGTTAATGGTGTCAGTAACATTGTAACTTTATAGCAGTAGTCTTACTCCATTTTAGATATATAACTAACTCAGAAAATTAAACGTAGTGACATCATTTATTGTTTATCTTAAGTCTTCTGCTTAAAAGTGCAGTTGTTACGTTTGTAGTAAATAATCTATATAAAAATGACTTTTGACGTTATAAAATTGAAAATTATTGACAGTTTCTATTTGTTAATTAAAATACAGACTTGAGTGGATTTTTAACTGTTTTGATTTCTTTTTTACCTTACCACACAGAAGCAAAATTATATGGTTCTATGTAAAAAGGTACTCGGTAACGTAAAAAATATATTCTTATAATGTTCTACACCTAAAGTTAACTTGTAAAAAGAAAAATTAATTAGTGCTACTGTTGTTTTTTCTTTTAGCATACTTCTGCATGCTCCTCTTATCAGGAAATCGTTAAAACCGCGTTCGATGCCCTTCACACTTCTGATTTTGTAATGCAATCCTTGCGTTTTACACAATTATAGATTAAAACTCCAAAAGTTAAGAATGTTTAAAAAAATATCACAGTAAATAGTAGATTATATATCGCCGAGCGAACGCTCCACGTTGGGCATCAAGTGTGGCGTTCGCTCAGCAAAAGGGGGAGAGGCGGGGGTAGAATCCGTGGGGTGGCCCAAGTCGGTGCTTTGGAAAAGAATTGTCAGCTTACCTTTTTGTTACTTTGTCTGGTCATATGAAAAATTAAATCAGTGTTTACTGTAACCGTATTCGAGATACACCCACATAAATTTTTATGGGACCAATCACTCAAAAATCGGTGCTCCTGAAGCCGCAACCATAAATTATGAAAAGGGCTTGACAGGTCATTTTATACAGAGCCGTATTCGGGTTGAGTTGAAAGTTTTACCTGCTTTCGGTAATGTTATAGATATAATATTAGAAAATATAATAATCGTCCAGAAAGTTCTCCCGCTGTAGTAAATCTCATTAGACAACAATCAGAACTCATATCTTCTGAAAAATGGCAGAATTGTATCCGGCATGTTATAAAAGTTGAATCAACATTTGAAAATACACGGCCTAACGAAATTATAATTTCAATAAATAACGACTCATCTGAGTCTGAAAGTGACTTATAATCTTATAAATATTATTTAACTAATACAATTTGTCTATTATTTCACCTTATTTTTTTAACAGAGTACGGCCCTGAAAAATTCTGCCGGAACGTGCCGATATCTGGTCGCATGGGGTGTTAAAAGCAATAAATTACTGTTGCCATTGTGCAGAGGTTTCACTCATTATCTGTCATAAAGTTTTATGTGGGTGTATCTCGAATGAAATTTGTACACCTTGGATGTTAAATGTCCTCTTGCGGTTGCACTAACCAATAACCGTTGGGACTACCGCGTTTCCAATCTGGGATGACCCTAATTAACTAATTTTTTCCTCTGCATTCGTGGCAAACGTCTGTCGGGTTTGGTGGACAAAGGGAGAGAGTAGAGATGTGCCGTTCAAAGGAACGAGTGACCGGAATCGTTCCCCACGGAAACTAGTCGTTCTTTCGTTCATTTCGTTCACATGGTCTTAACTGGTTCTTGTCTCCGTTGGATACTTGGATCCATGACTCCTGCACAGTTCTATGTTCTGTATCAAACACGAGTATCACAAGCTATTCAATCTTTACGGAGTTAATCAAGAACATAAGTTTTCCAGCCTATTTTAGATTAATTTCAGTAGTATTTCATTTTTTACAAAAGAATAAGTATTTGAAAAAAAAAAAAAAACACCTATTAACACATGACTAGAAAGCGGATTTATAAGCACAAAAAAATTAAGAATAAGCGCTTAAATAAGCACAACATTTTCAATAAAAAAGTTTTATTTTAAGCAAAAAAGCATTAAAAACATAATCATATTACAAATCAAAGAACACTTCTTAGAACTTTGGATAAAATATTATTACAATAATCCTAGACTTTATATTTTACACACGTATTTCAGTTTTCTTTAAAACAATTTATGATTGTAATATGTTCCAAGTTGTCCACTGTAAAATTTTTTCGCCGATAATTTAAAATGTGTTTAAAATTGGAGAATTTGCGTTCAACATCCACATTCGTTGTTGGCGCAAATTTGAATTTTGCAACTAATGTTGAATCTAACTCCAAATTTTCCACCTTCTGGCCTTGTAAAACACGAGCAACGTCGGAAAGAACACCGAAACCTGCATTTTTATTTAACACTTCGTCAAGTTTTTGAGATACTCTAGTACCGATATCACCCCTTACTGCGTTTGCTTGTTGTTTAAATTCTTTCACTAAGTTTATGGCATCTACCAACAACATGTTGGGTTTTTCTAACTTTTCTATTACCTCACATAGGTACGAATTGATAATTGCTTCTTAGAAAAGCTTGATCTTGTCGCAAAACTTTGTTTTCCAAAATATTTATGCAATCTTTAATCGATTGAGAAGAAGCTTCACTAAACTCCGTAGCTACTTCCTCAAATTCTTTGATATATTTGTCATAATAAAATGTGGCCTGTAACCATGTTCCCCACCTCGTTATAATCGGCTCTGGGGCAATGGTATGTTTGGAAATTTTTCCTTAAAATGTTGCACTCTTAGTGGGGCTTTAACAAAATTTTTTTTACCATTTGCCACTAATTTATTAACAGTAGGAAGCTGCAAACGTACTCCTTCAGCCAATCTGTTTAAACCGTGGGCAATGTAAGTAGAGTGAATTAAATTGGGGTACAACATTTTTAGATTATTCCCTGCTTTCAACATATAACGAGCTGCATCCGAGATCATCAATAAAATTTTATTCGCCGGTACGGCATTTGGCAAAAATAGTGACGTAAGACTGTCATTTACAAATCTGGTAATCGTATTACCATTTGTTTTATCGAACATTTTCAAACTTACTACATACCCTCGATTAGGGAAATTTTCATTTAAGATTCCAATAATTAAGCTTGCCACGTATCTTCCACAACTATCGGTTGTTTCATCGACAGCGAACCATAAATAATTATCTCCAATGCGATGTTTAATTTCGTTGTAAACTTGCTGAAACACTGGGCCTACATAATTTTTTCGGAGAGTACTTTCAACCGGAATATGTCGATTGCTGTGTTTTTCAAGGAATTCTTGAAGAGGGCCTTTCTCCAATTTTTTTAAAAGTATATTGGACTGGATCATCATTTTACATAAATCGAAATTAAACTGAAACTGCTCATCTTTTGTGGAAGTAGATGCAACTGATGCATGTATGGTCTGCTGTTTAATTTTAGAAACTTCAAACATTTTCTTCCTTTCTACATGAAGAGTCGTTCTGACATGTTGCGTCAAGTTATATTTTTTATCACTTTGAATCTAAGTCAACGTACATATACAGGATTAACAAAGGAAAATAGATAAAAAAAAATTAGTGGGCTTACGCTTTTCACAAAAGCTCTGCAGAATATTTTGTTCTTTTCTAATTTTAATTCCGGAAAATCCCTTATCCACTCATCCAGCGTCGATTTTACTTTCGGCATTCTTTTAAAATATTAGTAATAGTACCAAAAAGAACTCAACATGTAACAAGGGAGAACCACGTATAACACTGTACTACGACAGATGCGATAGACTGATGGTTGTGAAATAAACGGTTCATTTACTTAAAAGTTTCCATTAGAAAAATTTTAAGGTAGGTAGTTGGGTACAATACTCATTTTTTCTAGAAAATCTTCAACGGTCTTGCCGCAAAATGCCGAAAAAGAACATCTGGTTAAAAGCTTTAATTCATTACCAACGGAAGTAAGGATTTAAAGTCAAAATCTATGGAGTATTTTTCCAATCCTATAATAAAATTTTATTACCCAAACGACCGGAACCTATTCACAGAAAGGGTCTCGAGTAAGTGTACTTTAATGGTCAAGTTCAGGTAAAATGCATACGATATGATACGGCTAACTAACAAGTATTTGTCATCCCGACAAGGTCGGGATTTGAACAAAATATGCATTAAAACTCATATTCGTCGAAAAAAGCATTAAATAAGCATATAAGTTTTAATATGCATAAAATTGAAAAAAAGCAAATAAGCATAAAAAAAAATGTGTCAGATGACTCCAAATTGTATCATAGTTACATGTTTTGAAGTGCTTACATTTTTCACAAAAAGCATTAAACCTAGAAATCCGCTCTCTACACATGACGAATCTTTTTAGGAAGATTGTAAAAAACTCAAACAATGACGGAAAGAAATGAACTGTTTAGGATGAATAGAACATATAAATTAAAACATTATAAATTTGATCAATTTTTTTAATTTTCAGTAGTTCCGAGTCTGTTATTCATGGCCACATGGCGTTTCCTATAACGTGATCGGAACCAAGCAAAAGGGAAACTAAGACCGTTGATCGAAGAGCCGAAAGACCGAATCACCGAATGATTCGTCAATAGATCCCTGAGCCTTGAATGACTAAGAACGAAGTGAACGAAATGAACGACATTTGACAACCGGGTCTTCGTAGGGATCGAACGATGAACGATATGTTCGTAGTGATGACCGAATCTGCCCATGCCTAGGAGAGAGAGACCGAAATTGAAGTGAATACGTGAATATACCGGAGGTGTCTCAGGTTAATGAGACTGCAACCCTTAATACTTAAGCGTGAAGAGACTTGCAGGAAAATGAGACCGTCACAATCGAGGCACAGTATAGACATCAATCAGTAGGGACAACTCATGTCGGCGTCTTTGATCTTTCTGACCTGAATTTTAAGCCATCATCGGTGGTCTTTGCCCAAAATATTTCTAGATGTCGCCACCCAATTTAAAAAGTATCACAAACGCTTCATTTTAAAATTGATTCGTGTACACAATTTACTACACTTTGTGCAAATGAATTTTTGGAAGAGAATTAAAAATAGTGTAATAACAATAACATTTTGTAACTAGTTGATCTTAGAAACCGCACAGTCTATTATAATAAATAATTAATTAAGCTTATCATAGCTTAATCTTATCATTATATGCATAGACAATATATTCGTTCTCCAACAAATTATAGAAAAACGAATATCCAGAAATCTACCTACCCATCTAGTATTTATAGACTTAGAGAAGGCCTACGATACTGTGCCCTTAAAAACACTCTTTGAGACACTGACGAAGGCAGACCT